CAACATTATATTAAAGTTTTTCTTCATTACCTATTCAAGCATTCTCCAGCCATTATAAATGATAAAAGTATCATTTAATATCATGCGTAGTCAACATCATTGACTAACAAATGCATATCTAATTCTAATATACCGTTTTCATCTACTCCTCATAGAAAAACAATTCTTATGAATATTACGTTGAGATTCAGATTTTTAATCTTTATAATAAAATCTCATTTTGCTTACAAACATGTTTTACGTACTTATATGTATAAAGAAAATATGTTATTGATGTATCATCACACAATTTTGACGAAATTACATTAATATTTGATATTTTCTTTAGATATCGTCATTTTATATTATTAATTAAAATCCCCTTTTAAACAGTGTTCATTTAGTCAAAAATTGACCTACCCAACCCAGTAACGATATCAATTTGCCAAAGTCTGGTTATCTTGTATGCATACTAACAGCGGAAGGGCTGTACCAGTACGCGGAGTGATACATAAGACAGAAAAAAAGGAACCGGCATATACAAGGGTGTGGGAGACACTAGTTCTGATCTCGTGGAGTTGAAACATCCGATAGTTATTATTGACTATAAACCTTTGTTAGAAATTTAGTATTTAATAATGTCTTGGCAAAATTATGTTGACGATGAGATTTGCTCTAAAATTCCATGTAAAGCAGTGGCAATTGCCGGGCATGATGGCAGAATATGGGCAAAGTTTGAAAAAGACCCGGCCTTCCAAGTAAGTGCATGAGTTAATCTCCTAACCTAGTATTACTAATTAATTAGTAATATGAATATAGTTTTACGTGAAGTTGAAACTTTGAAATTAAATATGAACTTTTTATACTTTGTTTAGTGAACTTTATGGATTAAAACTTGCGAAAAAATAATTTAAAAGTTGACTTTATTAAAGAATTAATGTGTTCTATGATGTTAATTTTTTATTTGTGTGATGCTTACTTGGTTATTAATGCAGTGATGGCTTTTGGAAAATTAATACAAATTACAACGAGCTTGTCAAATAATCGATGCTAATTTTTTTTACCAGGACTTTGCACAACTATAGAAAATACAACAACATATTCATACGATTAAGTATATTGATGGCGTATACTATGATATTGACGTAGCCACTTTTGCTTATAGTATAAGTTGTATTTGATCTTACCATTTACGATACACAAAGTCTTTGTAAATTGTATGAGCTGTGTACAATAAATTAATATATACAACTGTTACCAATACTAATATTAGTAATACTAATAGTAATAATTGTAACTAACGTTAGTTTTAGAAATAGGTTTATAAATTATATTGAATACTAGAGCTCTTGAATAGTGATAAAGCTTTTTTTTTTCCTTGCCATACCTCCATTTTTATTCAGCAAACTTGTTTTGTACAAGTCAAATGCATATTGTGTTGCAGTGTTTACATAAATCTTAAAAGTGAGATGTATAACAGTAACTTGATCTTGATGCAATTTCACTGTATCAGCATTTTGAACTTCCTTTCTTGCAAAAATCAACAACAACAAACAATTGTTTGTGTGGATGGGAGAACTACATAGGTATTAGAATGTAGGCATCCCCCATAGGGTTTAGTTGTGGTGAAAAAGAGCAAATAATTATATATCCTGTTCAATTAGAAAAAGAGAAAAAAACAACCAAACCTTTCCCTTATATTCACAATATTGATGAGGCTCTCCTTGGAGTACTGTATAAGTGCCATCTTAGGTTACTAAAATGATACCTGGTTTGGGGGTAATTATTGTTTGATAAAGTGGCTTATTGTGCTTGCTTATTGGGTAATCTTTAAAGAAACTGGGGGGGGGGGGGGGGCTTGGGAGAAGAAGAGACTTGACCAGAGACCCAGAAGCTGGGAATGATCTTCCAAATACTAAATACCTGGCAGTCTAAAAATTTGAATGTTGATGTGCTACATTCAGCTCTTTTGCTTGATTTTGAGAAAGATTTGTAATAATTTGCAAGGCTAATGTCTTATCAGCCTTGAAACCAAAATCTCAAACTTTTGTACCAGAAAAATGTTGGTCATTCTTGTCTAATGTTGATCAATATGTGTGTTTGCTACAAGCTGCTGGGAATGATCCTAAAAATTTTAGTTATCCAGCAGCCTATAATTTAACAATTACATGTGTTGATAAGCTTCCAGGATGGTTTATAATATTACTTTTATATCTGTTTTTTTTTGTTTTTTTTATCATTACTATTATTTATTGTTGTAATTCATTATCCAAATCTTTTGACTACTTGATATTTAATATTTGAAAGATTGTTTCTGGCTACTGGGTATCTAGCCACTGTGAGCAAAAAAAAAAAAAACACATTTTAAATATGTTAATGGTAATGAATTTAAGCTTTAAAAGTCTAGTTCTAGACTTCATATTTGCATATTCTTAATATATGTATACTTGAACTAACTTGGTTGGTGTGTTTTGTTAGTTTGGATTTTTAAGGCTGTACTTCAGTTGCTTCCAAAAGTTAACGTATTCTTATCTTGTTATAATGAATATTTTTTTTCTTGTTTTGATAGAAATAGGTTTTGCTCTAGAAAATTATTCTGTTTAGATATTACTGCTTTGACCTAAAATTCAATAACTTAATGCAGTGAAGTAACTTTCTATTGTTATTAGTGTTTTATTATTAACACTACAGATGGTTGTATAAGTAGTGCTATTAAGTAGTGCTTCCACTACACGTAAAAAGTCCTGTTTCTATGAGATGTAACATAAATTCTAGTTTTATTTTGTATTATCTATTAATCACGTAATGAGAAATCACAATGGGAATATTTTTATTATTCTAAGTAATAAAAAGTCTTAATTGGCTGACTCAAATTGTTTTTGACTACTCCAATTACTAGAGTAAGTGAAACGTTTCTCACTATTTTAGATTAATCTTGTTGAACTTATTTAGTATCATAACTTGCAAACATTTCATATTGCTAATTTAAAATATTTTTGGCTTGCTTTGTACTGGAATATGGTATACAAAATGTCCAAAGTGAATTTGAAGACTCGAAATTGTGTACAGTCTACTTGTCCCAAGTATGATCTTCATATTATTTGTATAAAATTTTAAACTTAATCCCTGGAAGTAAACATGTGTATATGTAACTTTGTAAACCTTTTACATGACAGTAATCGTGCTAGTTACTGTTTTGATTTGTGTATAATCAATGTCATAAAGTAATATTTCTTTTCTTCAACAGAACTTTGGTACTTTTTAGTAGAGCAGTCTTCTAAGAATTTGTGTTAAGAAATCCATGGAACAGTGTTTGTTTTATGATTGTTACAGGTTTTGTACAACATTCCATACAGGGCTGACCATTGGGGTAGGCTGCGTGTACCCTTGCACAGGGCAGTTCTTAGCAGTTCTTGTCAATTTTGCAGGGGCACCAAATGCAAACTGACCAAACTAAAATAATGTGTGTGTGTGATATAATCTTGGGAAACAAGAAAAAAAATATAGAGAAAAAATTAACTGCACTATATGTTTTTTATGAATACATAGGACACAGTCAGAATCATCAGTATAAGAAGTGGGCACATCCCGTTAAAGTTTGGGAAACATTTAATCACTGTTATTAGATTGCATTTGTCTTTTAAATACATGTGGAAGCATGTTTATCTTGATAGTGAGCTATTGTTTACAGCTGCCAGTCAGATTGACTCCAGTCTCTGCTGGTCAACTTGCTGTTGAGACTATCAGTGGAGACTTACTAATTAACAACAAGTTGGCTTTGTTGTGGATGTTGTAGAAGACTGTGCCTACTCACTTCAAAGTTTGTGGCTGATTTTGTTCTCTGAATACAATTTATTTCTTGAATTTCCCAATGTTCTCTTCCCCCACCACACCTTCCCTAGCATATTGTCTCATAGTCTTTTAAGAGGAAAGTAAGTTTTTGATAAAATAGTTTTAATTTACCCATAACTTGTATAGGAATAAGTGTAGATTGTTACCAAAGTGTTTTCTCAACCTTGGTTGCTATGATGCAATGTAATTGTTAATATTTCAGCTCTGAAAAGTTGTATACTCATGATCTAAACACATCATCAAAACTCTCTCCATCCTATTAAACTGTAAAAGTCAATGAGGTTTCCAGTTCATAACATATTCGCATAGATTGAAATGGTGATAAAAGCTTTTCTAGAAGGAAAGAATAGGTTTGTACAATTTCTGCTACAGTTAGTTCTGATCTTTGTAAAGTTTGAGAAGCTTTCTTTTATCTTGTACTTCATCCGAATTATGATATGAAATTACATTTTGTTTAGAGTAAGATGAAGAGAATTAAATCAGTTTATACTTGCAAAAGTTTTATTTTGCTGACATGACTAGTGTTGGACCTTTTTATGCACTAGGCATTATCAGCCTAATGCTTTAATGAGCAAAGAAATGTAATAATAAAATAAAGTACATAAATGAACCCAAAGTGGGGTTTAAACTTGTTACATGAATAACCTTTTTTTGAAACAACTTAGTTTAGCTTGTCTTATAGTAAAAATAACTACTTTATGGTAGTAATCAAACCAGTGAAACTATATTCCTTTTTTTTTTTAATTCAAACAATTTAATTTTTTTGATAAAATTTATAACAATACTTTCTTAATTTAAACTATCTAATAGTAAACTTAAAACAAGTATAAATGTATCACAAATCTGAATCTTGAAGTTACAAATCCATACAAATATCATACACAAATTCTTCTGGCATAATCTAAGTAATTCCAAATTTCATCCACAAAATTTTTATTTTTTTATTATTATTAAACCAATGGAGTAAACCATACATTTGTACATTGCATTAACTTGCCCTGGGTCATATAGTTAGTCTTCCTTGTTTGAATTGTTCACAATGCTCTGTGTAACATTTTTTCAAAAAACACTTGCATATAGTAAAAGCTTTCAGAATAATTAATTCATTATTAATAATATGGTATTCCACTTACCTTGTTTTTTAGATAACGCAAGCAGAATTAAAATTAATTTGTGACCAAATGAACTCAAGTCCTGAGACATTCCATGGATCAGGGATACATGTTGGAGGACAAAGGTACATATGTTTGACTTCTGAAAGCAATCTTTTGAGAGGAAGAAAAGGTGGCACACCATTGTGTATTGTGAAGACATTACAAGGTAAGTGTGAAAACAGAATTGAAATATCAGGCTCTGTAACTTGTGTAATTTAATATTGAACACTATTTTTTGAAATTGATGTCCTAGGCAATTTGTAGCTATTTTTGTCCATTCATTGTACGCAGTGATCTATGTAGGTGAGATTTTTTTTTTTCGTTCACCTTAAGCTATTGTTATTTTTTATTTTATTTGCAGGTGTGAGTGAACTTGAATATGTAACTACCTATCAAGATTTTGTTATAAAAGTTGTACAATTGAACTCCCAATTGTTTTTAATGCAACTTATTAGGAACTTCACATTATCAAAAGCTAAATGTTCTAATATTCCTTGCACATATTCATGTTTTTTCTTTTTTATAATCTCCATACGAACCTAATAAAGTTGTGCTACCGTTCACCACTTGTTTTTTTTTAAATCTCTATAGACAAATGGGATCTATATTAGAGCTGCGTATTTAGTGGAATTTGATAATTGATTTTAATCTTTTTTTTAATTTTTGTGTCTGATGTTAATTGATTAAGCTTAACAGCCTTGAATTAATGAAAAGTAATAAGAGGAAGAAATTTAAGTTATTCTAATCCAATGTTTTACAAAAAATATTTACTTGAGAATTGAACTTTATAAAAACACACACACACACACACACCTGACTTGCAGAAGGTTAAGTATTCTGTATTAAACAATTTTGTATCTGTGTATGACAAGTCATGTGACAACCACAGCTGATATAAAGCTTTGGAGAGTATATTGGAACTATGTTTTGATGTAATTTGGAATTTCATAACTGTGGTGCCATCAAAAATTGGTTTTAGTAAGGGTACGTTATATCCCTTTACATAATATTCAGATACTGATCATGAAGATGTATTTGGATCAGGTATTTAAATTTTCAACATGGGAATATTCTGTACACGTATTGAAAATATAAATTAACTTTGACACCATGACCTTTAACAAATTGTATCCCAAAAATGTGCAACATCTTGTAATGGGTAATACTTCAAACTTTGAGTTCTGTGGCAAAATCTGTCTACCTGTTCCATAAAATGGTATGCAACATATTTGGGAAAGATTTCCATCTGTGAAAAACAACACAAATCACCTATGCAAGTTGCTTTCATAACACCTAACACCTCTCAAGCAGCTGGAGAATGAAATGAGTATTCTGTATGATGACATACCAGTACAGTTTTGAAATGCAGTGCCTATGGACCTCCTATCAAACTGTTTAAAATGGATGCTGGATTATGTTGTCCTTTTTGAAAGTCTGTAAGGTGTAGTGGTATACTTTGAACATGACTCTTAACAGAGCCTTTTACAATGGAAACTACATTGCAAGACTGTTTTCAAAGCCTGCAGTTACCAGAGCACAACTTCATATGGTGACATGCTATTATAATGTGGTGAGGATCCAAAATAGTTTTGATATAACTTAATAAACCACTGTAGTCTGATTATGAAATAGCAATTTTATTACACGTATTTCCCCAAACATAAAGTTGCTTGTATTCTGTGTTCACTCACTGTAAGTTGTTTTTATTTTGTTTTTTTTTCTTCTCCTATTTAGCTGTTATTGTAGCAGCTGCTGAAGATGGTAGTATAGCTGGTCAGCTGAATATTGTTGTTGAAAAACTAGGGGAGTACCTGACAAATTCAGGTTATTAGGTAATGGCTGTTTTCTACTCTTTATTCATATGGTGCTAATTTTCAGAAAGAAGGATCTTCATTAGAAGAAAATTGCTTGTGTGCATTAAACTTGTTACATAAATACTTGTGTGCAAATAAAATGTTCTGAAATGTTGGAAGTATATATTCTTTTTGGTAAATGAATAGTGTTAACTTCATGAAATTAATACCTCACTTGTGATAGTGTGCATTGCATCAATGAATTTAAACACTTTTCAATCAACATAACTCTTGATTAGCTTTTCATTAAGTTTATATCTGAGTGGAGTAGTACTAAAAATTGTAAAATTAATAAATAAATAAATGAATGAATGCACTTTTCAAAGAAATTGCAAGTTTTCTTGCTATCAAATAGGTAACTTGGTTTACAACTGCCTTAATATTTATCTAGGTATGAGCTTGACTGAAACAAGTTGGATCTACCACTTCTGAACGATAATTTTAGAAGGAGCTTTAAAAGAAAATTGATTTCTGCTTCACCATTCAGTTCCATAGAATCTTGTAAACTATTTTTATATATATTTTTTTTTCTATATTTTTCCAGATTTATCTTTCTGAACCCAGTTTTTTCATTATTATTCAATGTTGAATTGTTGCTTAACTGTCACTGCTTTTAATTAAAACTATATAAATGTAAATTCTAATATGATGCATTAAGAGAAGGAAGCTAGTCACGATATTGGTAAAATGAAGTGATGGAGACCTACAATTGATATTCAAACCATGGATAATTTTTGAGAGTATTTTACACTGAAATGGTCTTTTGGTAATGTTTGCAAGTGAAAAACTAAAACAAATTTAACTTAATTTTTGTATCTCTTGCTCTTGTATTTTGCTTTCACTTTATTTACTGAATCTGGAAGTGACTTTTTAACTGTTGATATTAACATATAACAATGAGCTAGAAATAAATCCTTGCATAAGATCTAGTATCTAGACCTTTAACAAAAAGGCTTAAAGTATGACAAACTTGCTCTTCCTTAAATTTGTAAGATAAATCAAAAGAGGACTTGTACTAGAAGAAACTGGGATGCTCAAAGTATTAAATTTTTAATTGCAGTTTAGTTTGTTTGTTGTTAAATCTAACGTTATCTTGCAGTGCGTGAATTTTTTTTTTAAATGTGCATAATCTTGAGCTGTGCCAATGGTTAACTTCACAAAGTTTTTGTATTCTGTCTGCTGGGTCAGTAATTAAATCATTCCAATTAGTTCACTTGAGTGGTTTTATTTCATGTTACACATGCATTGTTTGTAATCTATATTATAGGTTGAAGGTTTTCAGTAGAATAGTAAAATTCCACAACCAATTTTCCAATTTTGTTAAAGTACTTAAAAAAAAAAAACACTTGTAGATCTATATCTCTTCTTAATGATTGTACAATTAAACCTAAAACTAATCCATTTTTTAATATACCTTGTAAATTGAAACAAGTTGCACATCTGTGTGTGAGGGATGGGGGTGATGTGTAGGATTTCTTAATTTTATTAGGAGATACACACAGGGGAATCATCAGCATTGTAGGTGTTTAAACCTAAGGACTTGAGATGCTTGTAAATTGAATTTTTCCTCACCCTGCTTGTGGTGTGGAGGGTGGGAGGTTATTGATAAGGTAATTTCATGGGTGAGAAAAATAGGAAGGGACAGGCATTGTTTTCACTTCAAACTTCATTTCACTGTTGTGATTCTACGGTATTGCCTAAACTTTAAATGCATCTATCTGTATTAAACTTCTGTGTATTGTGTGTCCCGAGTTAGTAAATATTTTTTTTTACTATTTTTGTACTACCTTTTTAATTTATTTATTTTTGTTAACTTTGTACTAGGTAATTGGCAATGCAGTCTGCTTCTTCGTAC